CTAATATCACTCTAGACAGAGAATAATAGTATTGCTAGGTTTTATATCATGACACTACAGAATTAGCATTGGGTATCTTAGTGTCTCTTTTTTTTTCAGAGTATCTGTTCATTACATTGTGCATTATGTAATCTATTCTCTTAGACTGTTTAGAAGTTCTACACATACATGAATTTCTACATGTATACCTATCCTTTCTGTATTAGAGGGAAAAAAATCAAAACAAGACAACAAAAGAAATTCCTAGAAAAACTTGAAACAAAAAAAACATATAAAACCACAGTACTAGGTGATCTACAGTCACTGTGGTGTCTCTTGTTATTTTCAATAGAATTGTTTATATCATCAGGCATAATATAATTGAACATAGAACTACATAGCAATATTAATAAAAACAACATTGGAGACATTATAGGACTTTAAAAGCAGTTAATAATCAAACAGGAATGGGTATCCTATTGCATCTTGTCATCTTCAGAGTAGTTGCCTCTACTCTTAGACTTGATACTATCAAGCATACCAAATGTGACTAAAATCAATCAAGACAAAACAGCAATCTAACAAACCAGATTCAGATAAGATCAGTCATAGTAAAACAGTGTAGGTAATACAAGGCTTTTGGTTAAGTTAATAGGAAACTAAGGGTAGTTATTGTAGTATATCCTGCTGTTTTTTGGAATAGCTGTCCCCTCAAATCTAGTACGAGTAGACAGACTGGAACAGAATAAAATCAAAGTAAACAGAGTGATAAAACTAATGTGGCTTTTAAATCCTGATACACTATTAACCATGTCCTCTGCCTTCCTTTTTTAGAGAATTCCTCTCCTTTCCCTTTCTCGGGGTACTTTGTACATTTTGGGTCCCACTAACTCCTTTAGTTTTTAGATTAGGGGTGGGGTCTGAATGTTTTTATCCCTGAGCTTGATCTTGAGCTGTATTTCTTTACCTACTAAAGCCTCAAGGTTTTCCTTCCTTATAGCTGAATAGTTCTTCACTGCATAAAAGTGTCATGACTTTCCAGCCTATCTGCATCTGCTGGATGAGCTGTCCCTATTTCTCTTTGTCACATACAGCATCGTTTTCTCATCTTTGACTTTCGGTTCATTAACCCTCTTTTGGTAGATTATATTTCCTATTCAGAGCATTTCGATGGATCCTATCTCCTGGTCTACTCTGCCTGTGTTTCTTTTTGTTAGTGTATCAAGGCCATCTGTGTTAGAGATTATAGCCAGTCTTCTCTGCCTCATCTCTGCTATGATATTTTTCTGCTGTTGGTTGTCTAATTTTTTCCTTCATTCCACTGCCTATCCCATTCATTGAGGCCTCTCTGCCACTGTTGCTGGAATCCTGGTGAATTTTTTCTCTCTTCCTAGAATGTCCTTCAGTATTTTTTGTAGGGTTGGATTGGTGGTCACAAACTCCCACAGTTCCTCTTTGTCATGGAAACATCTTGTTTCTTCATTAATTTTGAAGACAGTTTTTCAAGGTACATCAATCTGGGTTGGAGGTTCTTTCAGGGCTTGGAATACTTTGCTCCAAGCTCTTCTTGATTTGATAGTTTGTGTCGAGAAGTCTTTCTTGATTTTGATGGGTTTTCCTTTATAGGTGATCTTTTTCTTTTCTCTGACTGCTTTTAATATTCTGTTTTTGTAATGAATTTCTGGGATCTTGGTTATTATATGTCAGTGTAGATATATTTTCGTTGTAGCTGGCTGGAGTTCTGTATGCCTCTTATATCTGAAAATCGTTTCTTTTTCCTATGCTTGGGAAGTTTTCCTTAATTATTTCTATGAATAGCCTTTGCGTTTCATTGGTGTTTACTTTTGCTTCTTCGCTCATGTTTTTTATTCTTAACTTATAAATCTTCTTGTCATCTTCTAGCCTGTGTATTGTTACTTCCTGGTTCCTTGTTATTTTTAAGAGATCTTTCCTTTCATGATCACACATTGTAAATCTATCTACAAATTTTGAAAGTCTAACTTTAGTTTCTGTCAAATAATTTTGCCAGCTTTCAATGGAGTTTTTAATTTCCTGGTAATCTCTTTGGATCTGTTTCATGTATTCTAGATTTTGTTTATATTCTTCATCAAAGGTTTCTCTCTTTTTTCTGGGCTCCTCCATTCTTCCATCTGTGTCTTCTTGAGAGGTGCTTAGCATTTCTTTCATTAATCTTTTATAACTTGCTTCACTTGAATTAGAATTTCAGTTTTAAGTTTGTCTATGAGGTCATGAAGAAATTTCTTTATGTCTGCTGATGCTGTGTCTGATATTGCATGTTTGCTACCCTCAATCTCTTCTGTATTTACCTCTACTGGACTTATTTTCCCTGGGTCAGTGGCTGGAGGCTTTTTCTCATTTCTTTCTCTTGTTATGTTTCTGGTTTCTTTCAGACTGGTGTATGGTGGAGGTCTTAGGCCCTTTATGTATTGCTTATGGTTTTTCTAGGGTGTGCTGGCTAGGGGATTGCTGCCCTCTCCAGTTTACTGTTGATCTGTGAGGTGCACACAGGGATGATGTAGGCTGGCCCCTCTCCTATGAGCCAGCTACCTTTGGTGTTGATAGTTATTAAAGTAATACTTAAGTATTACTTTGTTTTATTTAATAGAATGAACTTTTATTTTCATAATTTTATTGGCATTTAGAATTAAATTATTGGATCAGATATAAAGACTGTTTAACATTTAACATAAAATTGAAAGATGGAAGCAATTTAATTATAAAATTTGTTTCAGAATACCATTGTAGGAAGTAGTTAGCAGTATTAGTAAGTCACTATTATATGAGCATATGCGAATACAGTGTTATGATTTTGGTCTGGATGTCCCCTTTAAGTGTCATGCAGTCATGGGGATGGGCTTCTAGACTTTATAATTGATTCATGGTGCAATGCTGGGATTATGGGTGGGAGTGCTCTACACACACACACACACACACACACACACACACACACACACACACACTGGAGTGTGTAGCCTGCATACAGTATAAGGGAGGGAAAGAGGCTTGGTCTTCCTCTCCTCCCTTATTCCTTTTGTGTCTTTTATCATGTTGAGCTGTTGTTCCTTTGCCCAGTCACTCTGCCTTAGAGTCAGCTGATTATAGACTGATATCTCTACAAACTGTGAGCTAAATAAACTCTTCCTTCCTTAATTTTGGGCATTATTTGGGCATTATTTTGTGAGTGAGAGAAAAGTAAGACATGTAAGATGAAAGAAAGATCTTCATTAAAATCTTGTTGGCTACACAAGTGACAAAAATCTTAGAAACAGCTTGAGGCTGTTCAGATCAGTCACAGGTCCTCCTGAAGAAATTTAGACAAATGTGCAAATATGTATGTAGACTATGCTTTTAATGTGATCAGAACATATAAATGCTATCTTCCATCAGTTTGGTACTAAAGATATTTTATTTCATATTAGGGAAAATGCAGTTTAATACAATGTGTAAGCATTCTGTTGTGAATTACTCAAGTAGGTAAAAGTATTGGGAAAGTACACTTTTACTAATAGCCTTCATGTTTTTGTTGTTTAGAAAAGGGCTGCAGTTTAGTCAACAATTACATTCTCATTAGGCAAAATTTGTAATGCCAGTAGTTTTTCTAGACATTTTTTGAGTAAACTGGTTTGATGTAGGTAGGATGAGTTGAAAGTACTGCAGGGGAATCCACTTCCTTGTTCATCACCACTATTGAATACGGTAATTTTTAAAAGAAGTTTTTGGCCAGTTTATTTGATTTAAAAATCTTCTCATGTACCCTTTGACTTTGTTCCTATTTTTTTTTTTAGGCGATACCTGTGATGTTTGAGGATATAAACATCTGTGCTGTAGGACTCTTTTTTTTAGGAAGAATTGTAAGAAATTTTTATACTCAGTTAAGAAATCTCACTATTTTCAGTTGCTTGTTGTTTAAAAATATTTTTGTTATGTATTACAGTTACGTATGTAGCTTTATGAAAATTCCTGAATTTACTTGCCTACTCTAATTATAAATATTATATTTCTCAGTAAATGAAAGGTAGCTCATAGTTCAAAGAAAAAGGGGAATTTTAAGAATTTGATTAAAGGAGTTATAAAAAATATTGAGTAGGGCCAGGGGGTGTAGCTTAGTGGCACAGCGCCTGCCTGGCAAGCATGAGATCCTGAGTTTGATTTCTAATCCCCCCCTAAAAAAAAAGATATTGAGGAAATACTTTTGTTTACACTTCTACAGTAGATGGTTGAAGATCTGAAAGTGAAATGACTTATCACCTTAGAGCAGATTAGAGGCTGGCAAAACCTGGAACTAAAGTAGCCAGTGGTAGGAATAGGACCAGAATAATTAAAGAAGATAATTGTAAAAGGTAAAAGAGCAGAGGACTTTGTCCTATGGAAAGATTATGTTAGGACTGAATCTGACCAAAAGTAAACACAAGACAAGGTAGCAAGGGGCTTGTTTGTGAGTAGAATATGTTGCCTGGCATTTCTGGGTTGGTCCTGAGAAGGCAGATACCAAATAGGCCAATGCTATTTAAAAGGTAAGCTACTGGTGTGGAAGTTCTGCAGAAAACCATTGAAAATCTGTGGGTCATCAGAGCTGACTTGAGAAATGAAATGAAGTTCCGTTACTGGATACTAAGGCATCATTACAGTCTTGTCTGAAAGAAAGGAGATGCTTTAGCTCCATTATATATTGCTAATATATTTTAAGACTGAAAACCAGATACCAGTATCAAGAAACAATTTTCTTTTGATTCTTATTTCCCCTAGAATGTACTAGATATCCGAGTTGGTCAGTATATTGTTTCTAAGAAGCTTCCTAACACATATTTCAAAAGTATTTTCTTTTTCCTCTCAAATCTCATTTATTTCTACCAAATAGATTCTACTCATTCTGCCTTTTACTAGTGTACGTATCTTTTGTTGAACATGTACTATGTGTCTGCACACCATAGGTAATAAGAGGTATTGAAAATTATATTGATAAAATTGTAAGGTTTTTTTCTCTTTTAAATTTATTTCAGATTTTACCAAATGTTGCAAAGACTCTGGACTCCTGATGGTAATAAAATGTCGGAAAGAAAATTCTGCATTGAAAGAATGTCTTACTGCTTAGTAAGTAGTACTTCATTGTGTATGTGTTTAAGTAAGAGAAGTTATTTAACTTATCACACGTAATATATTCAGTACCACCCCCAACCAAATTTCTTATTGTTGTCTGAGTCCAAAATTTTACTATGTTGAAGATTATCCTAAAATAAAAATCTCAGTATATTTAATGGAAGGATTTTTTTCATATTACTTTTGTCAGTGTTATAATTAATTAAAAATACAAAGTCAGCAAAACAAAAATAGTTTTTCATGTAGTTAACAAACCTGTTTTTGGAAATAAATTGATTTGTAGAATATACTATATTCTGATTTTTATTTCTTCTGATGGAAAGAAACTGAATTAGACTATCTCTAAAATCTTCTCCAGCCTTTTGATTTGTTGTATTATTACAGTGGTTCCAATAACTCATATGAAAGATTCAAAAGTAAATTTAGATTTCTAAAGTTAAATTTTAAAAATATTTAATCATCGTGTAAATTAATGTTAAATGATGGTTATATTAGGTTTATCACTGCTGGACAAAATACCTCACACCCACAACTTAGAAGAGAGGTTTAATTTGGCCCACACTTTAAAGGAGTTTTATGCTGGAATTGCCTGGCTCCCAAGCAGAAACATTGTGGTGAGATAGGATAGCAGGGCAGAGATGCCAGGAAGTAGAGCAAGGGAGTGCCAGAGAGGAGGGGGCAGGGATGAGGGTACAGATATAGACTCCAAGGTCACTCTCAGGGTAGACCCAGAATTGTGCTCAGTCAGTTCCTCATGTGCATCCAAAAGTCATTGAAGTGGACATTCCTTTACTCTGACCACCTTGTTCCACCCCTTGTCAATTTCATACCCAAACCATACATATTGAACCTCTAAAGGAAGGTAACAGCAAGCTCATACTTCCATCTGATATAGTATAACCATATCCATCCTGTGTACAACCAGAAATGTAAGTCATTCCCCAACATTCAGTAGCTCAAGTCTGTTCCAAACATTCATGTCAAAGTCACTTCTGAGACTCAAGGCAAACTCTTAGCTATAAATATCTGTGAAAATTAAGAACAAATTACATAATCCTAAGGTACCGTGGCACAGGATATACCCACTCCTGTTGCGTAAGGGAAGAATTGGGAGGAGATGTAGAAAAGAACAAGACCAATATAGGAAAAGAGTAAGATAAAATCCAGCAGGGTAAACATTTAAGATTTGCAGCTCCATATCCAGCATCCAGGGAACACAGCTGTCGAATGTGAGCTCTGAAGGGTTTTGACAGTCTTACACCTGTGGCCTCACTGCCTGCACCTCAAACAGCTTGACTCTTGGACTGGCTCCACTCATAACCTGCAGCTTTCTTTGACATATATTCTGTATTCCTGGCCTCTCAGTATCCTGCGGTTTCCACTGTACCTTTGAATTATGGTGTTCCAAGGGCCTTTTGTCTAGACTTCCAGGCTTCCCTTTAGAGTGTAGAAGCCTTTTCTGATCTCATTATTCCTTGCATTCCACATGCCTAAAAACTAGCATCACATGCATGATGCCATGGTCTGCTGCCAGCTTATGAAGTAGACTGGCCACAATAGCATGTCCTTAAGTGCTTAGATGGTTGAGCACAGGGAAATGAATCTGGAAAACCAATTTCCCAGCTGACCCTTCTCTAGCAGGGTGCTCAAGGTCTCTTCTCACTTGGATTTACACCTTTGCACCTTTGAGCTTATAGCTGATTCTGAGATGCTGTCAAGCATCTTTTATCTTGTCGCTGTACCAAGTGTTTGGTTCTGTATTAATGGAATGGAAGTGATCTCTTCAGTGGCCCTACCTCTTTAGGTTTATACTTTACATGTGGTTTCTTGTGGCCCAAAATTTAAATTTTTCAGAGTTTTCTGCTCTGCCTTTTGCCTAATTAGTACTGTAATCTGGCTAAAAGCAGCTAGCAGTACCCATGCCAGGCCCTGAATTTTAGGCGATCTTGAGACTTATACTGCCAGATTAATTAATCTTCCACCCTTAGTTCCAGTCTTTTGCAGTCTCAAATTTGGGAAAAATGTAAAGTTTATTTATTTATTTGTTTGTTTGTTTATGGTCAGAATTAGCACACATGGCCTCTAGTCTAATTGCCAATGGAATCATCCCCAGCTGAAATCTGAGCCTGGCCTTTTGTGTCTGAATTCCTATCAGCATTTCTGCTCTGTTTACAGAATTCTAGGGCATCTCTAGCCTTTATCTCAAACCTTTTCAAAATCCTGCAAAGTAGTTCCAAAGGCTTTTAAATCAATAGTCAAGTACATTCCTAACAGTGACTTCACTTCTCTGGTAACAGCCTTCCCAGTGCTACACAAAATATCCAATACCCACAATGTAAAGAGGAGAGGTTTAGTTTGGCCAAGGCTTTAGAGAGATGCAGTTTATAGGTGATTTGCTCCAAGGTAGAAAAGCATCTTGGTGGAAGGGTGTGGTGGAGCAGAGATGCTTAGTTCCTGTTGGCCAGAAAGCAGGAAGAGTGCCAGAAAAGGACTGAGGGACCATCAGTTAAGAGCCCATGCCACACCTCCATGACCCAGCCAGCACATGCAAAAGTGTGGGCCACCACTGTGTCCTGTAGATACCACAGCCATCACTTTGACACTGCACTCTGGCAGATGTTCCTCAGATGATTAAGAGAGAGAATGCCAAGTTCTTTGGATGCAAGTGTTTTTATCTCCCTGCATTGTTACCCATGTTATTGACATATAATATTGCAGAATATTTTAATAAGTATTTTTAGTTGATAATTACAAAATCTTTGACAAGCTCTCATGTCCTCTATATACTGTTCCTCTAGCCTGTGAGTCTCATGTATCAGTATGGTATAATTTAAGGGTGGAAGATTAATAATGGTATAAATTTTAGACTAATGTTCCCTTATTTATAACAAATGCTGAAATTGGAAAAGATTTCAGAAATTATGTATTTACTCATATCTCTACTGACTAACACTGAGAGATAAGTGTTTTTCCTCAAGTTAGTAATACTAACAGCAGTTCTTATCTATGGGCCAGCTTCACTAAGCACTGAATTATAGGAATAAGTTTATTCTGTGATAAATTGTTCTTCCATTTCTAGATGTATAATGAGTAATCAGCTTGTTAAAAAACATTTTTATGTTGACAAAGGTTTTCACTTTCAATTCAGTCATTGTATGTTTTTCTTAGTCTGACACATATTGTCTCCCTGCACATGGAGCAGCTTTAGCTGACAGCGCAGATGAGAAGCGGGCAGCCCCAGCTGAGCTTCTGGCTTAGACACGGCTTAGTTCCCTGTGTGGCCTGGGAGTTCTTGTCTGCGAGGAAGGCTAATTCCCCCTGGAGTGACTGTGTTAAATTACCACTTTTACCATGGTTCCTAGCACAAAGTGGGGCTCAGTAAATGTTAGTTTTTTAAAACTTTATTTATAACATTTATATTTTAAAAATTTTATCTGAATATTAATCATTTGAATATCCATCCGTATGAGTAAAATGCAGGATCTACTGCATCTGGATGAAGGCCTAGGAAGCCAGGGCAAGTTGCTTCTGATGGTTTGAAAGAAAAAAATTAAGTGAAGGAACAAAGATTGTAATATTTGCTGAAAGTAAACGGAAGTTACTAAAGAAAATTTTACTTGACATTAAGTTCTAGAATACCTCAGACAGTGGTGGCGAACCTATGGCACATATGTAACTTATTTTTCTTTTAAGATGAGATGTTAATGTATGAATTGTATTTTCTAAACTAAACCACACCGTTTGGGTTTAATAGCAGGGTCACCACTTTGTGATTAAGTGGGTTTAGGATTACAATTTAGGCATTCAGTTTCTAAAACGTTCACCATCATGGCCCTAAAAAATGTTTATTTCCTCTTTGAATAAATGATATCGTGTTTTAAATAATACCTGACATCACATAACATGAATATAACCACTACTCTTTAGTGACATCTTGAAAATTAATGGTTAGACTCCCGTACTTCTATTTCTCACCATTCATTTTTGAATATATTACAATCTGATTTCTGAAATTACTATTCTTAGATATAGCCAAGTTCAAAAAACGGACCTTTCCTACACTTCACCCTGCTCTGACTGGCTGTTCTTTAGTGTTCTCCTAATTTCCCTAACAATGAGTTCCAGTTTCTCATATATTTATCTGTACTTCTCAACTTTTTCTTCCTTATTTTTATGCTGCTGTTTCTCTGGGTTGTCCTTGTTCCTAAATCTGAGAATGCTCAGTTTGTATCACTGGATTAAATTACTGGTGGATCATGGTGTTTCTTTGCTTCTTTCTTGAGGTTCAGTTGCCCCTCCCCCATTCTTTGTGAATCATAGTTGTATAGCTTTTAAATTGTCTTTGCCTCCTAATTCTGATTTCCTGTTGATTTCCCACCTCTCAACAAATTCTTTTTTCCCATTTTCCTTCCTGTTTCGTTTGCCTAAGCCCTCAGTTCTGGTTTGGATTAAGTTTTTTGGAATTCTGTTTCTAATCTTGTGGCTCCCTTCTGGGTTTTATGACACATGCCGTCAGATTCATGTAAGTCATGAAACTGATCCCACAGTTGCTTGGTTAATAACCCTTGTCGCCCTTAGGGTAGATCTCAGGTTCTTTATATTGCATACGTGGTACTCATCATGACTTGGTCCTTGTGTGTTTCATGTTTATCTTAGGTCCCTTCTGCTATGTGCAGCTACTGCTACAGTACCTCCACTTGAGTTTGTTATGGCTGTGTCTAATGTGCCCTCAAAGCCTCACGCTCTTTCAGAAGTGTCTGGATCTAGAGTGTGTCACTCTAGGATTGATTCTTGGTGCCATACTAGGTTCAAGGGTGTGAGTGCTTGCCTACCTTAACTAGCTTGGATAAGATATAAGGGATAGAAAGAGCGATGGGCATCCCTTGTTGCTTTGCTGCCTTCTGCCCGCCATGAGCTGTTTCTCCTTTGTGATCCCTGTCTGCCCTGCCACCCTATGTTGGAGTCAGCCCATTAGAGACTGAAACCTATACAAATTGTGAGCTAAATAAATCTTTCCTCCTTTTACTTTGGGTGTTATTTTGTCTCAGCAGCAAGAAAAGCAACTAAGATGTAGTTTTTCATGCATCTAGTTTTTCCTCATCCAGATACCTTTTATATGGATTTGTATTGGTCCTTCAGAATGCAACTCAAACATGTCATCCTGTCTCCTCCCTTCCTGCCTTGTGGTATACTGGGTTACATTTCTGCTGCAGTACTTTTTTCATGCATTTGTAGTCTAGCCTTTCTCTTTGTACCATAGCAATTTTCTTTTTTTATTACATTTTTTTTTTTTTTTTTTGTCTTTTTCATTTTTATCGGTACCGGGAATCGAACTCACGACTGCCTGCTTGCAAGGCAGGTACTTATGCCGCTGAAATCCCCAGCCCCAGCAATTTTCTTTATATTGTGTCCTGTGACAACATCATGTAAAAGTCTTTTCATTAACATGTATCATATTTCATGTTTTGTGTGTCAGATAAAAAACACATTTTAAAAACTTTTAGTTCTTTATTTCTTCCATTGATTTGGTAGCATAATGCTTACAATTAATTTATAAACATTACTGAAAAGTCCAATTCTGAAGATAATACCTAATGCCCAACTACATATCTCCAAACTAGTTTATATTCACTTGTTGCAAACGACTTTCATTTAAAAAAGATTTTCATGTTGTCCTTGTAGCTATAATGATCCAGCCTTTTATGAAGAATGCAAAATGGAATACCTGAATGAAAGGGAAGAATTCAGAAGAACTGGAATTCCTAGCAAGAAAAGGCTACAGAAACTTCCGACAAGCATGTAGCAAACATTCAAATGAGAGAAACACTCATATTCATAGAAATTATCTGTGGTATAAATCATGTGAAATGATGGATTCACAATAAGAATGTATGTTTCCTTTAATTACAAATATTAATTTTATATGAAATAAAAGATTTTTGTTGCAGAATTTTGATTTATTAAATATGCAAAAAGATTAAATACTGAAATGGAATGTGGCTTTTCTGAACTTTTTTTTTGTCTTTTTCCTTTTTATCGGTACCAGGGATCGAACTCACGACTGCCTGCTTGCAAGGCAGACGCTTATGCCGCTGAGCTAAATCCCCAGCCCCTTTTCTGAACTTTTTTACAAGTTTCCACAATTATAATTCTGTAACAATGCCAATGATTTTCAGAATTCAATGTAGATATTCCCTTCATGTGTTAGATAGGCTAATGGCTAAATTGTGGGAAGCAATGGTAACTAAGGAATAAACAACTTTTAAAGGTGTTAATAACTATCAATATAACAGAATAGCTACAATCAGAAGTCTTCCTACTTTTGTTGTTCTAACGCTTATTAACTATGCAACTGTACAAGTAAATTTCAGCCAATATTACATGTTGGCTGAATATTACAAGTATACAGGAAAGTGCTTCATGAGTTGATAAATGCTCTTTAACTGGTAGTAGTTAAGTCTTATTTGGAAATAAACATATGTAAAAATCTAAGAGACTATACAGTCTAGAGGTAAACAAGACTATATTTCTCCATTGGTCTTTTGTTACTGATGCATTACCTGAAGCACAGGAGCTTAATTCTTGATTTTAATTAAATTGAAGAAATGACAATAATTACTTTGACTAGTGAAATATATAATCTGTGCTTTTTTATACTTTTAATTAAAATGGTCAACTTCAAACTTATATGTAAAATTTACTTATGTCACATTTTCCACAGGTGCATAGACAAACCATACTGTATAGTACATTTATCCTTCTCATGACAAAAACTAATCATCGCTTTCAGAATATTCATGGTCTCAGCCTACTCAAGTCTACTTATGTGACTTGAACACCTGTGCCTCACATGGATCTTGCTTGCTTATTGGTGCCTTTGTTTATATTTATACTCCCTGTTCATAAGTAACAGTACACAGGTTTGGTTTTTCTTTCCCTTAAGATTTACCCTTTCCAGGTAGCTTTACTCAATGAAATCGTTATTTTTGTGATGTGATTCAGTTACTTAGTTTAAAGTCTGAATTTTCCATTTTTTTCCCTCCACCTAATATATCCTATAGATATGTCCCTGTTCTACATATGAATTCAATTCCATTCTGGCAATAATAAGAATATCTTCCTTTTAGGGATATAAATTTTACCTCAAGCTAAGTGTGGAAGCCACAGGTGAGTTGTTTGCTATTTGTATTCTCTTCATATGACTTGAGTTATGGAAATGAAGTAGATGATCTTATAAAAAGAAAATAAATATTAAAGAAAATTTTAAGAGAAGCTCTTTGAAGTAAATTATGGTTACTATGAAATTTTAAACAGTATAAATTATAGATGTGCCTTTTTTCAATTTGATGAGAACACATTGAATGGCTGGATAAAAATATTTTTTGGTCAATATTTTCTTACTCAAGAGTCTTTCATATTGTTTACCTTTAAACTGTCAGAATAAAGGAATTTCCTCCCCTCAACAGTTTATCAAGACTGTTGTCTGTTAAAGGAATGTAATTAGTAAGAATTACTAATAGTAATTGTATATTGGCAAGAGTATTTCATATTCACCTCCATTTCAAACCAAAACAATTTTAATTAATACCTAGCATTGTTCAAAACATTAATGAATCTGTTGTCTCCTATTGTCCTCCTTTTCTTTACAAAGGAAAAATTCTAATCTTATTTTTAAAAAGTCAAACCAGTAATCTACAGTAGGGATTAGAGATAATATATGGCCTATGCAGCCACATGAGAAATAGCTTTTGCCACTTAGTTATTATACAGGTAGTTGCTTCTTTCAGCTAAATCCTGGAGTCTTGCATTTGTTTCATGCATATTGGGTTTTATTCTGTTTCTTGGCAGGAAGACTGTACTCCCTTGAGTCAGCTGTGTTCATTGGTCAGAATAAATTCCTGCATCTGACATCAATTCCATTAATGACACACAAGCTTGAATAAGTGAATAAGATAATAGAAAGACACAAAAATGTGATGAACAGTGAAGTGAGCATTGTCTTTATATACTATCCATTAATATAGAAGAGATTGACATTTCTTTTGAGTTAAAAATACATGAAACTTGCATCAAGGACAGAATCTTTCTATTTGAAACACTTTATCCTAGGCAAAAGATGTATGAACCAAGTAATATATTATTATCACTACTACCATTATTTCTGATATTCCTAATGTCTGTATTCTGAAATAATTTAGGTAACTTTCCATGTGAAACCATCTCTATTTTTCTTACGTACAAATCACTGGCCAGTTAGAATGAATTTAGGGCCATTTTATGATTGCACTATGGCAATACAATACATAATTTAGTTCTAGAATGAAAATGCCTAATTCAGTTAATTAAAACATCACTTTCTCAAGTATTACATTTCAAAACAAAGTCTTAACAATTTACAAGCTGCTGTAACAGGCAACTGTATTCCTTTTGAAGATGTTTTATAGTTACAAGTATTTATGGATCACTGAAGGGATATAGACTAAATTGTATGAGATGCCCTTTATAACTGGTGTTTAAAGTTACAATAGTTTATTCAAATACCATATTTTTAATTATTTAATTTTTGTATTTTTGGCATTTAAGACTTGAATGTTACTAGTACAAAACAGTCATTTCAAGTCTTCAAGTTCTATTTTTAATATTTTATCTATAAAAACTGTTACTAAAGAAAGTGACTAAGTCTTAAACTCAAGAACACAACAGAGATGTAATAACCTAGACACTTTTATTCCATTATATTTTGTAATTTTATACATCTAAATCAACAGATATAACCTATTCACATTGTTGTTTGCCCCTGTATACAGTCTAATAAAACCAATGTGCATGGTTTTTCTCCTGTAATACAGGCTTCCTTTTCATGAATGGCTATTTAGGCATATCAAATACTTTGTCAAATGATGTTCAAACATCTCCAATTTTACTCTTTACCTATAGCAGATTTCAGTTTTTTTCAATAACAGATTTATCTTTAAACACTTTAAATGTACTCATTAGTATAGTTAGCATATATCTGATTCTTAGAATGTAGAGTTGAAGGGTGTTCTTCTTTCACACAGGAAAATCAGCTAATCATCATACCTTATGATGAAATGTATATACTGAAGAAGTGCAAAATTTTAATCAAAATCCACTTTGTTAAATAATTTCTGGGGAGAACCACTGAGAGATACAGTGACCTCATGATCAAACCATGAATCTCTTCAGAATTAACTTTTATAAAGACAGTTTTGATTATGTTGATCCAAGTAATGCAGTGGTGGCAGGTTGGGTAAAGGCAAAGTTTTACTTTTAGTTTCTCCAAATGCTGTCTCACTTGATTTGGGAGGGCTTGGGAATACCCAAGAATTATCTTCCAGAGAATTTCTGCCATAAGAGTTGTGTTCCTGAAAGTCTGTGCCATCATTAGAAACCAGTCTTTCATTATCTGTCCATGATTGGAGAATTGCTTTCTCTGATAAAACCTTTATATCTCCTGATAAAGGGGAAGATACAGTATGACAAAGAGGTTTGCCATTTGGTGAGAGTGGCCCATGTCTTTTGTATGTTGCAGTGAAATTTGTCAAGTGCAATTTCGTGCTGTCTTTCCCAAGGTCTTCAGTGCATCCAACTGGGGTACAAACTAAAAAGCAAGCACAGAATCAATGTCAGTTTTCATCGCATTTGTGGTCATACAGTACCATAACACTTTACTAAACTAGCTGAATACTGGTAATTAACATTTCTAAGTTAGTATGCTCAAAGGAGAATGTGATTTGAAATAAATTATGCATGATCTCAGGTGTAGACATTCAGTTATTTTTGGTGTCACTTTCCTTACCTAAAATGGATGCAGCAGTCCTGTGCCTATGTCACAGAGTATTAAAAGATGAGCTACAGTGTTAAGTAGTTGTAAACCAATGAAGTTAAAATACAAGATCCCTTTTCTGGCACTTAATCTGGCTGGTGAAGGCCACAAGTCATTTATGCGTCAGTAGGGGCTCAGAATTTCTGTTTCAAACAGAATATTTTTTTGCTCTTCTAACATTTTCTCCATAGGCAGTCCAAAAATAAAGTTTTTGAAGAAATAGTTTACATATACTGTATTATATATTCAAAGGCTATTATGGAGAAAGCAGTTTCAATAAAAGTTATAAAATAATTTTACTTAAAATTATTTTGTGAATTGTACTGTAATCATCTAAAAAATAGAAAAAATGTTTTATGTACACAATGTGTCTGGAATAAGACTACAGCTAGGACACTGATAATGTGGGCTTCTCTGTCACTAATTCAGCCTCATAACTTTAGCCCAACGACAGTTAAGTGTAACTAGCTGAGTCCATGCCGTTTTCAAAGTCTCCATGTAGTTTTTAGAAGAAACAAATGGAGCTGCATTATAAAATAAGCTGTTTTTCTTGGGAGGGTGGGTAGAAATGGGCTAGAATTGGAAGTAATTAGGTTTAGCCTCTGGACAAAGATGATACATTCATAGGTCAGGGAAATAGGTGATCTATGATCTTATTTCTGTTTCCTACAAAACAATGAACTCTGTGATATGTATCATTAACTTTGTGATACATATCATTTTCTTAGTTGAAAAGACACAGGATAAACTACTCCGAAGTGTGGAAAGAACTTTTTTTTTGTTCTTTAGAAGTTGTAGTTAACTACTTAAAGAGCCACACTGAAAACACTATAATTGTCCTAGTGTGCAACATTTTCCCTGACTAATAAAACACCCCTGAGAAAAACTTGGGGTTTTTTTTGGTACTGGGGATTGAACTCAGGACCTTGTACTTGTCATGCAGGTGCTTTACAGCTGACCTAAATCCTTGGCCCTGAGAAAAACTATGTCTAAAATTATTCTCTATTGCTCTTGATGACAATCTGAGGTGCAGATGACAATTTTAAATTAGATGGTATCTTTCTTCCATTATTCCATTAAAAAATAAATCTGGAGGCATTCAAATATATAATACACTTTTTTGAAATCTATTATCTAATACCAGACAA